TGCCATTTCAGGTCTTAGAATGTTTTCACAGAACACACAGATGCCGTTGGTGGCTGGAATGAAGTGTTCATGTTTTGTGTTTTAGGAAGCAGACAACGATCCAACAGGAGAAGCAGCAGCCAACACACAACAGACCTTGACATTTTATGAGCTGGACTTGGGTTTGAATCACGTAGTTAGGAAATACAGCGAGCCTCTGGAAGAGCATGGCAACTTCCTTATAACAGGTACTGCCCACCTGGCTGCTCTCTCACTTTACTGTGGGTCTGTTTGGTTCCTTTTCTGGTGTTGCTATGCTTTAGGTGCTAGGAGCTGTTTGGTTAGCAGTTTGAGCCATTAGCATAAATTAATGGGTGAGCCAGGTCATGAGTAATGGTTCACGTGTGGAAATATGCAAAAATAGGAGATACAGCTGAGGTTTGCAAACTGCTCTGCATCTCTCTTGTGTCTGCCTTGGAGTCTCGTTGTTCAGAAACTAGATATGAAACAAAATTTAATATCTGGTGACAGATGCAAAAGAATGTAATTTGAGGTAATGCATAAGTGCTGTTCTACTCTTCTGAATGGGATTTGAGCAGCTGATGTGCATGCAAAAAGCCAGTAAATAAACATCTCTAAAGGCCCATCTACCAGGATTTGATACAAAGCTAACACTTTCAACTTGAGGAAGTGCTGATCTGCAGATGTCTCTCCAAGTGGAAAGAAGCTGAAAGCTAGGTATGCCTACTCTGTTGTTATATCATCTGCTGGCAGCTGTCAGGAACACTGGGCTGGATCTGCTTGCTCTGCTGCTGCTGCCCTTCAGTAGTGTGTTCCGTTATGCTGGGCTCCCAACAGGACCATTTTAATAAACATTCTTAGATGAAAGATGTGTCAGAAAAACATCTGCTATTATGACAGCAAGCAAACATGCCAGTCACTGACAAATTGCTGATGTGGTATTTTGGCTCAGCGTGGCTTTCTAGGTGAGAATGAAACATAAAGGATGAAACAAGCAATTTACTTGGAGATGTATGCTTTGTTTTTCTTTTTCCTGGTGCCTCAGTTCATTCTGCCCTGTTTTTATGCCCGCACGGAAAGCTGTATTCTTTCTCCTTAGAAAAAAATCATATATTCAGGGTGATGCAGAGCACTAAGAGCTATGCTGTTTGAAAGGACCAAAATAAATCCTTCATAAATAGTAGTTCAGATCTGTGGTAAGAGTTCTTCTCGTAGTGACGTTTCCTTGTTGTGTTTCAGTCCCTGGTGGTTCTGATGGACCCAGTGGGGTGCTGATCTGCTCAGAAAACTACATCACTTACAAAAACTTTGGTGACCAGCCGGATATCAGATGCCCAATTCCCAGGAGGCGGGTGAGCATTCTGGGATTCCTCCTTTACCTTTTTATAGGATTTCCTTTGTTGTTGCTGAGTAAATTTGCCACTATGGGGGAGGATTTAAAGCGATGAGAACAGGATTAAGAATCTGTTAACCTCCATCTGCCTTGATGGCTGCACGTGTCATCTGTGAGGGAAGATGGTGGTAGGCATGGCCTGATGTGATGAGTTGGTTTCATGTCTCTTCTCTGAGATTGACGCTGAAAATACTCCCAGGACTCTGATCGGGCACTTGGGGCAGTGCTGTCAGTGTAAGGTAGGCTGGCTTGAGGTATTGAGTCATGGCTGCTGTTGTGTATACAGGTGAATTCAACAGCTGCTCTGTTGCTTGTAAGGCTTCATTCTCCTCCTTCGCTGCCACAGATCATTATGTTCTCTGGCAGAGCTTTAAACACCTGGTGCTGAAAAACATCTGGTTGTGTTACTGCTGTGTTTGGTTTTGATGTTTGGGGGTTGTCTGGGTAAAAAAGAAGGGGAAAGCTTAGTCTCAGGGTCTTAGAAATGTATTTCCTTTTGGGGGAGAGAGGTGCTGGGTGTAATGGAGGAAGACTTCTCTGTGTGCTGTCAGTTCTCAGGCACCTGTGAAATGGAGATACTTCAGTCAGCAAAACCACATCTGTACAGGTCTTTTCCACCAATCGTTTCTGCTTGCTTTCTTGATAGAATGACTTGGATGACCCAGAGAGAGGTATGATTTTTGTCTGCTCTGCTACACACAAGACCAAATCCATGTTCTTCTTCCTGGCCCAAACAGAGCAGGGAGACATCTTCAAAATCACCCTGGAGACTGATGAGGACATGGTAAGCCATATTTGAAGAGTGACAGGAAACACACAGTTAGAGAGTTCTTAGTCCATAGCTTTGCCTGGTTCTCTGAAGTGATAAATACACAATATTTTGGGTTTAGCACACATTCTACGTTTTTTGTGACACTGTTATGCTCACAGCTGTAACTGCTGTTCCTCGTAGTGACAGCAGGGCGTGCAGAGTTCTGGTTTGCGTGCTGCAGTCGATCTTGATGTGAGTTCAGGAAACTAGCTTGGCACAGCCAGCTAGTCTGTAAGTTGAAATACCTAACTTAAACTGAAGTAGCTTGCTGCTGCTTACCCTAGTATTAAGCAATGAAAAGATTTCTGCTACACTGAATCAGGTGGCTTTTTTTTTTAAAGTCACACATGTACAGCTTTAGTGCCTTGCTAGTAAGTTCATGTCTTCCTCTGCTTTCAGGTCACTGAGATTCGACTGAAGTACTTTGACACCGTGCCCGTAGCTGCTGCCATGTGTGTGCTGAAGACAGGATTTCTCTTTGTGGCATCTGAGTTTGGAAACCAGTGAGTAAACAGTTTCACACCAGTGGTTTTCCCCTGGAACGCTTTGTGAGCACAGACTGACCCTTGACTTCACTAAAAGTAAAAAGACAGCATCTCAGTTTTAATGGGTAGAGTAATTCTTTGTTCACGTGGCATGACTGAAGAGGGGAATTTTCTTCTTGCTGATCCCAGATTAAATGTTGTAGTGCAGTGAACAAAAGATGATGTGTTTCTGCGGTTGGAAGAAGTGGGCGTTCCATTCTGGGTAGGATCAGTCACCTCCTGATGGTTCATTTGATCAATTTTGGTTGAACTTATACGTACAAGTGGACTACAGCATCTCTCAAAATGTAACTGCAGACTCAGGAGCTGGTAGGGCTTTTTATCAGTAGCTGTACGGTCCTTTTCTTAATAGAACTATTGTGGAGGACCTTCTTTTTTCCTATTCAGGGGTGTAGAGTACTCCAAAAAGTCTTCATGTGCCTTTGAGAGTGGCTTTGCAGCTGTGCGTTCACAGGAATGGAGGTTAATGCTCTCCTGCCTGCATCTGCAGAGTCAGCCAGCTGGGGGAGTTCCGACCAGTTTGCCAGAGTGAATCTGAACTCCTCTGCATAAAGCAGGCTTTTGAGGGAGGCACATTAATTTGAGGATCATTAAAGACAAGAAGTATATTGGTCTGTATTTCTGGAGTTCTTTTTTTCCTCTGAAGTTCAGCTTGATTGTTGTGCTGCTTAGGGTCGTAAAATGGAATGGGGTGTGGGGCTGAGAATAACAAGGTGAAGGTATGCCAATAAAATACTTGACTGGAGTTGTGGCTTTAGTCCTCAGCCTTGCTTGTGGCTTCACTTGTCAGTTAATGCTTTGGCTCCAACACTGGAGTGTCTCAAAGGCTCAGTGGTAAACAGAAAGCACTGAAACTCTGCCATACCTTGCCAGTGACAGCTACAAACAAGACCATGATTTTAGTTAGTTATTTTATTTAATGAGCATCTGATTCCCTTCTAATACTTTTTTTTTATTATTTTTTTTTTTCAATGAAGAAAATAACCCCTAGGGGCAAAATTTTAATAACTGTGTGATTTCCCTCCATCATGCTGAATGTTTGGCTGGGCTGTATTAGAGAAGACTGAATACACTCAGCACTGAACATGCTGTTTCTTTCACTTTGTGTCTCAAGTTATCTGTACCAGATAGCCCACCTGGGTGATGATGATGAGGAACCAGAGTTCTCTTCTGCCATGCCTCTGGAGGAAGGAGATACATTCTTTTTTCAGCCACGACCTCTCAAAAACCTGGTGCTGGTGGATGAATTGGACAGTTTGTCTCCTATTCTGTGTTGTCAGGTAGGTTGCTGTCAGCGAGCTCCCTTCTGTTCGTAGGGCCCTCTCACTTAGAGGAATTGATTACAGGTGCATGACTGGTTTTCCATGCTTTTGTGTGTGAGCAGAGTCAGCAAAGATGCGTTACCCCAAGTTTCCAGAAACATTGCATTGTAGTAAATGCTAATAGAAGAGCTGGTCTGCTGATTTCTTAGCCAGCTGCTTAAGACTCTCACTGGTCTGTTCTCTTCCTGTGGCTCAGTTTTGTTTTATCTGCTTCCATGCAGATAGCAGATCTTGCCAATGAGGACACACCCCAGCTGTATGTGGCCTGCGGTCGGGGGCCACGGTCATCTCTGAGGGTTCTAAGACATGGACTTGAGGTAAACCTTCCAGCATATTAGAAAAACAGCTTGAGGGGCAAGGAACGTAGGAGACAATCCAAGCAATAAGGGTGCTCTAATGAAGGGATTCTTCTTTTGCTACAGCCTGGAGGGAGAGTAACTTCCTAGGTTTGTGCCTTGGAAACAGAAGGACTGCTGTTTACTTGTGCAAGCTCAAAGGCTTTTTGCTTTATTGACTCTAAACCACCTGCGTTTTCTCTCTAATGCTTGAGTGTATTGAATTGGAACTTTCCCAATGTCTTTGTCAGCTGCTTCTGCTATCTGTTTGCTGGGGGTGGTTGACCTTGTTTTAAAGCTGCTCTTCTGGAGCTCTGATGTTGCAATATCACTGATGAATATATTCTACCCCCCTTGCACATCTGGCATTGAGGGGAGAGCATAGAGTGGGAAATTTGCTAGCTTTCCTGTCCAATTGTGGGAAAGCTTAAAAACTGCTGATTGTTTATGACAGTAGGACTGCAGCAAGCCTAAACATCCATTGTCAAAAGAACCTGGTTCCTGTTTTCTCTTAGGTATCTGAAATGGCCGTCTCAGAGCTGCCCGGTAACCCCAATGCTGTATGGACTGTGAGGAGACACGTTGAAGGTATGCAGTATTTTCCTGAAGCTGAAGGAAGGGGGTGTTTTGCAGCCACCTGTTGGCACTTTGGAGCCGCCCTCTGGTCCCCTGGAATCGTCCTGCTTCCCTTTGACAAAGAAACTGCTCACAGCTGCATCCATCCATCGCACAGTGTGCTGCATCAGCTGTGCCTTTACAGCCTGAAGCTGCTGAACTTCTCATTTCCCAGTTCCCAGGAAGGTTTTGCTCTGACATTCATAGGCAGTGATTATGCTTTTTATTGGAGCGTGCTTGCTATTCTTCATACGTGTTGACAACTGCAGTAATCAGCTCTTTGTGAGCGAGCGGGTAAAAATTATGGAAAAAACCCAGATAAATCAGCAGCAGTATCTGTTCTATTGCTTCCCTCCGTGCATATCTGTAAAGAAAACAGTCTGTTTGGAGTGGGACATACTGCCTGTTCAGAAACCCAGCAGGGTTTGGGTGCTGCTCTTTCCAGGAAGCTCTGTAACTGAAACTGGCAAAAGGCACTGGGTTGTGGGGCTGTTTGTTTGTTTTTTTTTTCCCTGATCTCAGATAATGAGTTTGCATTGTGAAAGGTGAGAGGAAACGTATTCCATTGTCCTGCCTTTCTGCTGGAGGTGAGAACAAGTCCTCAGAAATATCTAAAAAGCTTGAAATGAAATTGTCTAGGTGCTGTAAATCTCCATAATTATTTCTGAGGCAGTGCAAATCTTTCAAAGACTCGCTGTAGTTTTATGCACCGGGTGCAGAAATGCCAGATTGTTGCAGTGAAGACCTCAGCCTTCTGTGTTGATACGGTTTCTTGTTTTTTAAGCAGTCTTAGGGTAGTGTGTCTTCCAGGGATCCTGTAGCCCTGTGGAAATTTCAGACGTTGCTGTAGGATTTACCTTGTCGTTTGAGACCTGTCTTTGATTTCTGTACTGTTCTGAGATTCAAGTACTGCCTGAGCAGAAAGGAAAAAAGCTCTGAGCGGGAAGTTCCTGCATGTTCTCCAGAACTAAAAAGGAACAGAAGGAAAATATTTCCACAGTTCCTCTCCAAACCATGTGTTTTTGTTTAGAAGAGGCATTCCAGTGTGTTAGAGGCAAATCTATGCTCCAGTCCTGGTAAAGAAGTAGGTAACTTTCTTTTCTTATAAAAAATTGAGCCTTCTAACATCATTTCAGAATTTTACAACCTTTTCTGTTGGGGTTGCAGCGGATGACTGACTCTCAGGAGATAGAGGACCATTGCTAATCTCACTACCTCCTCTTTTTTCCTCCACCAAATTCTTAGAGTCTCAGCACGAGGATCTCAGCAATTTCAGAAGGACTGCAATTTGTTGCTGCTGTGACCTTAGTACTTCTTGTACAGGAAGTTCCATAAGACCAGTCACCAAGTTACAACTCTTTGAATTCACAGCCAACGTTGTGTATAATTAGAAAGACTGCAGGACCCCTTCAGACAGCTGTCTAACCCTGAAACTGCACAAGGCTGCTTTTTTGAGTTCTCAGCATCGAATTGCCTGGCTCCCTCTCCATGCCACAGCGTGCTCATGCTGCGAGGCCTCTGTAAGACACACACAAGCATGCAGCCTTCAAAGCAAACACTAACCCTGGCTGGTACGTGGTGATACACACTACCAATACCAAGCCTCTTTTTTTCTTCCACAGGTGGCTGGTGGTGGAGGTGCTGATCACCACAGGTGTGTACATACTGCTAGGGGTTGCTGAGCTGTCCCACAGGTTAACCACAGAGAATCCCAAAATCACGGGGTTGCTTCTATGCTAAGCTTTTCAGTAAATGAATTCTGAAAGCTGTCCTGTAGTTGGAGATGGTCGTGTTTGTTAGCTGAGGAGTACAAAGCAACTTCTGTTCCACCTCAGGATCTCCAAGGAACAAAATAATTGACTGTATCTCTGCAGAAAGCTCAGTTCTTGCTGAAGTCAATGGTGCACATTTCAAGGGTGCTTTCAGCTCCATTCCTAGACAGGATTGGCTCCCAGCCTCATAATTGGTTTTGATCCCCTCACAAGTGTGCGTGGAGCACCTGCAGGTATTGCTGGCACGGTTGCTCGTATGTGGCTGCCCATCAAACAAGAAGCATGTGGAATTTGGACCAGACCCTTTTTTGCAGTTGGATATGGAGGACTGCAAGCTGAGAGGGCTGTGTGCTTTGCAGTGGGATGGATGTAAGCTGAGTCCTAACAGTCTGTAGGCACTGCCTGATGTTTCTCGCACCAGAAGCGATGTGTGGTGAGTCACAGCTCCATGCAGTAGTAAACAGAAGCCTAGGGAGATGTGCTGTCATCCCATCAGTGTCTTTGAAGTGAGAATAATCCTGAACTTTGTCACTGCTCATCTATTTGTGCACTGAACCTGTCTTAACTAGTGGTGGCTGTGTTTGCATCGCTGCAAATCCAAGTGCTGCAGAGCATGAAAAACTTTTATCTCGGGTGTGGACTGGCTTCTCACAATGGAATTTTCATGGACTGACTCAAAATGAATTCATGACAAGTAGCAAAAAGGATGGTAGTGTAACGTTCGTGGGCTGAAATGTGGTGTTTATATAACTGATCCTGACGTGTGCATGAAGCTGCAGAAAACTCGTAATGAAGGCACAGGAGAATGAGTCCAGCTGTGGTTCTTCGGAGTCATTAAAATGTCTCTGTTGCTAGCTGAAAGGGAGCTAACTGGAGCAATTAGAGCAGTAATGAACATCTCTGAAGTCTGTGTCTGCACACAAAATAATGTCTTATCTGTTCAGAACTCTGGGCAGCCTGATGTTGTGCTTGGGATTGCAGAGAGCTAAGCAGATAGCTTTTCATATTAAAATAGATGGTTCTTTTTCTGACTGAGGATACTCAGTGTGCCCCGGGGATTTAGTCTTCTTAATTTCAACCAGGCAGTTTTCTAAAGCAAAAATTGCATTGTTTGTATCGGGATGAATGCATCTTATTCACTGACTTCATTCTGGTAAATCAAACCCTTTATTTCAAAAGCTCCAGCAGAGAGGCATTAAGCAACGCTACTGGACTTCGAGCAAAAATGCACTTGTCACTATTACTGCCACAGAATTAAAGACATGCTCTAATGTAACCAAACCAGTGAAAAGAAAGAGCTAGAAGTCTTAAGAGGTAAGAATGAGTTTCGTTTGGAGTAGGACTAAGGGAATCTGTTTCGCTTTCAAATGGGAGTTCTTTGTCCTGCTCCAAATCACGTGGCTGAGCCTCCAGCTGGGACGTGGCCGTTTAGCATGGGAATGGCAGCCTCCAGGGAAAAAGGAGTGGCTGTCAAGGAGTTTGGAAAGTGATGATGGTCTTTGAAATGGAATTTTTAGCACATCCTGTCTACGAGATATTTATGAATTAAAGGCCAGTGAACAGCTAGAATCTAGCTGAAGCAGTCAAGGAATTCTTGTAGGCTTTTGGTGTTGAAAAATGCATGCAAGATTTAGGGGAAGGTCTTATGTAGTGTGGAGAAAAAGGCTGTGTAAGAGCGCGCATCTTACTGAACTCTTAGCATCTGCTGATAATGTCAGAGGAATTCTTCTGTTAAGCCAAGTGTTGAAGTAGTTGGCCTTACTAATCAGTTTCAGTGTACAGGTTCAGGTCTCCTGTCCTGATTTCCTGGTGCAGACCTGCTCCTGTTGGTGCACTTCGGGAGCTCGTTGCGTTTTTTGGATTGTGATTGCTTAACAGAGCAGTAATGGAGTTTGTGCCACAGGGCAATGCTGGAATTGCTTTAGCTACACAAAGCTCCTCAGTCTGGTCAGAGCTGTGGCCTGTATACCAGATGTTGGAGAGACAAATGATGTTTTTTTTTTTTCACTCGCATATTTTCAGCTGTATGTAAGACCTCTGTTATAAATATGACACAGCAGATTTGGCAACACCTTCCTCTAAGCAGGGTGGGTAAGAAAACAATCTATTCCTGAAGCACTTGTTTCAATTATCCCAATTCAACTGATTGTTTTAAGGTGATACGTGTTAGTTGCTGGTATCCTGTATTCATCCCAATGAGGGCTCCCCGTTTGCTTGATGCACTTGGAGGTTCGTTAACCACCGTGAGCTAATCATGGTGACCCTGCTGAAGGGCCAGAACTGGGCAACTCTCTCTTAGCCTCACCTCCACTTATTCTCATGGTGCTGTGGTGCATAAGTTTGAGCTCTTGGGTTAAAATGGGGAATTCCTCCTGTTGAAGAAGTAGCACTTCCGTGGCAACAGCATCAGGAGTGAAGTAGCTGCTTCGAGACAGTTTTATTTCTCCGTTGAGACTCCTGGCTGCATTTCCCAGCAGACTTCGTTGTTCCCATTACTTTCGTTCTGTTCTAATGAGGCTCCACTCTCTCTCTTTCATGCCTCTCTCTTTTGGAGGAATGCAAATGGCAGTAGTGGACCAGAGCATGTCCTTTACCCTGTCCTTCTACCCGTTTCCCACAGAGTTTCCTTACTTCCATGTGAGCTGTTAAATCTATTTTTGTTAGCAGAGCTCTTTCACGTCCAAGCTACTGGACTCTCCCAAGCTGTCTCCTTTGAGAGAAGCCAGCACTGGAGATGGTAGCTACAATGCTGTTGTTAATTCCAGCAGAAGTGAAAGTCAACACTTGCTCTGTCTTTAAAAATGTAATTGCTTCTCATCCTGGAAATCCATATGGATGCTGTGTGAATGAGAGCTAGTTGAACTTCTGGGTGAGTGTAGAGCAGGCAGGCTAGCCCTGAGCTCCTCCGCTCTAGCTGTCTTCAGCCTTTTATTATGTGGATACAAACGAGAGATGTGGTCTTGCAAGCTCCTGTTCATAGCATCCATGATGTCGTTTCTGCAAATAGATTCCATCTGTTTCGGTTTACTGGAGTTGAGTTTCATTCGACTTTGCTGGCTGTTAAATCTGGATTCATTTTCTTGTGTGAGGCGGGGCAAGTGTCTCAGAGGCTTTAGACCCCGTGCTGTCCTTGAAAGAAAGAAAAAAAGAAAAAGGAGTAGGCAGGAGGTTGCTCACCAGATTCCAGATCATGATGAACTCACTGTGTATCTGCGTCGCCGTTCGATCCCCCGGCCCAGCCTTGCTCCTGTTGCTTGGAGTCGAGCAGCAGGCGGCTTTTGCACAGGGTGTCCTAGGACGAACTTGCACAATATTGCCAGCAGATGTAATTATCACAGGAATTCTGCTGAAGAGCAGCTGCTAGACATTCATCAGACTGTTAATGTCGTTGGGAGGCCTTACATTTGTTTAATCAGCAGCCTTTTTTTTTTGTTTTTGTTTTTTCCCCCCGTCTCACTTGACCAGATGAGTTTGATGCCTATATCATTGTGTCCTTCGTCAACGCCACCCTGGTGCTGTCTATCGGAGAGACTGTAGAAGAAGTGACTGACTCTGGATTCCTGGGTACTACACCCACCTTGTCCTGCTCTCTTCTGGGGGATGATGCCTTAGTACAGGTAATGGGAAGCTGCTTCTGGCACGTCTGCAGATGTTTGCCAGTGGCTGCTTGCTGCACGGTTGTGCTCTCTGCAGTAGTGCCTGTCATGTCAAAAGGTGTGGATTGGTAGAAGACGACACTTGATCTTGCCCTTTTCTATCCTGTTAGTTAAACTGGACCAGCTGAAAATGCTCTGAGCTCCCTCAGAATGCACTCGGTAGTTCTTCACTGTAGTTCAAAGACAAAACGCTTCCAGCTGGCAAGTGGCTTTGTCCTAGTTCATTCTGTTGCATTGCTAATCAGTCAGCGCTGCCAAGAGTGATGCTCGCTTTTGGCTTTTGTGTCAGAATCCAAGTGAAAGTTGGGAAGGGGTGGTGAATACAGCAGTGAATGTGACCTTTTTCCTTTCAGGTGTACCCAGATGGCATCCGGCACATCCGAGCAGATAAGAGGGTGAACGAATGGAAGACACCAGGGAAGAAAACAATTGTGAAATGTGCTGTGAACCAGAGACAAGTAGTGATAGCACTGACTGGAGGAGAGCTGGTTTATTTTGAGATGGACCCGGTACGTGCACTGATGTTGTGAAAGAATTCACAACAGGTATTGGGGCAGATACTGATGCTCCATCAAAGCTGCAGAAAAGGAGTTTGTAGTGAAGAGTCCTTCTGGAATGAGTCAATCAAATCTGGACTGGGTTCACGTTAGATGACTTAATGGCTAATTAGAGCCTCTGAAGTTCATAATTGAGGTTGGAAGCCATACGCTTCCCTGCTGCTGTTCTGGTTATTTGAACTGTGGCTGAAATAAGGCTATAAATAAAATCCAAAACACCGTCTTAAAAATAAGCGTACAAAAGATGTTTGGAAAGACACTTAGGTGCTGGTCTGCCCCGTTACCTAATTAACGAGTCTCTTGTGTTTCTCTTTTTCAGTCAGGACAGCTGAATGAGTACACTGAAAGAAAGGAGATGTCGGCTGATGTCGTTTGCATGAGTTTGGCCAACGTTCCACCTGGGGAGCAGCGTTCCCGGTTCCTTGCTGTTGGGCTGGTGGACAACACTGTCAGGATTATTTCCCTCGACCCTTCGGTGAGCAGCCATTCTGGTTTCGCCTCTTCCTCTGGCTTGGGATGTTCAAAAGAGTGCTCCAGAGCTGTGCTGTGTGTGCTGTCTTTCCACGTTCAAGTGGGGGACCAGGAAGGAATAGCTTGCGTGGCTTTTCTCCTCTGCAGAGCTGAGAGGAACTGTGGCCCTTGATCCTAGCCAGAAACAGACTCCCTAGTTTTATCTAGTCTTACTCATGTCTGGGAGTTTAGATGATAAGATATAAAAGCATTTTCTGCTTTTTGGTCTTTTCCCCTTATCTCCCTGTTTCTCTGCTTTTAGTAAAAGTGAACCCACTCTGCAAGCAAGTTAGCAGCAAAACAGTGTTATCATTTCTCTGCCTGCAGCAGATCAGTGTTCAAGGGATGACTGAAGCAGTGCAAACTTTGCAGTTATTTAGCATGGAAAAACCTGAGCAAACTATTCCAGGACAGTTGGAAAGGATCCAGCTCGTCTTCCACAGACCCCAGGATTGTTACCATCCCTTCCTTGCCAAGATCCATACAGCCAGCATTTATTGTGCCCTTTTTTACCCTTCTTTCTGTAAGGAACATTTCTGTCTCCCCCAGGACTGCTTGCAGCCACTGAGTATGCAGGCCCTTCCTGCACAGCCCGAGTCGCTGTGTATCGTGGAGATGGGTGGCACCGAGAAGCAGGACGAGCTGGGGGAGAGGGGCTCCATTGGCTTTCTCTACCTGAACATTGGACTGCAGGTGAGAGGTAGCTCTGACAGCTGTGCCTTGGTGAGCTTTTGTTGGAAGGACAGATTGCTCAAGTAGCCATGTCATCATAGAGTGCAGCAGCACAAAGCCTAATAGTTTTCTCCTTGTTACAACATGCTTAACAACTGTAAGTGGGGAATTCACCATGTGACTTAGCAGAACTGCAAGTTTCCCCATACATTCCTGGGCTAGACGAAAGACAGAATATTCTCTCAGACACCATGCAGGACAAGGTGGTGTTTTCCTCCTCCAGAAAGAGGATGAGTTCTAAAAACTTTGGGGTGAAATGTTGTTGGCCAGTTCTTCAGTAACTGCCTGTAGGGCAGAGAATCAAAGGAGTGATTGCCCTCAACCACAGGCTCTGCTCTAATAAATCTATTGCTGCATGGTTTTCGTTGCATACAGCACAGACTCTGTGATCCTTAACCAAAAATGTTGTTTTGACAATTCAACATGTGGTAAAAATAATCGGAGCAATCTTGAGTTTCGTGTCAGAATGCACGCTTAAGCAGCGTGGCTGGGTTTGTGCTTTTTTTTGGATAGATGCTTTGTAGCAATAGGGATTAGGAAATGGAGTCAGACCTTGAGTATTTCTGTGGCTTTTGTGATATACCAAACTTACCAGCCTCCCTTTTTCATTTTATACTTTTTAAATCAATTCCTTTCTGCCCCTTGGGAGCGCACGGGAGCTACGGATTGTAATATTAAGAGCCAACTTAGAGAGTAATTGTAGGAGGAAATTATATCAGAAGCTCGGCAAACAAGAGCCTCATTCTTCAGAAATTGTCTCTTCTGTTTGGAGTAGCATGAAGGCTCTATTTAGGTATTTCCCATCTGTAATCATGATCTAACTTGCTGATTTGCTGATGTCAAGAACGGTGTGCTGCTGCGAACTGTCCTGGATCCGGTTACGGGTGATCTTTCCGATACCAGGACCAGGTACCTGGGCTCACGGCCTGTGAAGCTCTTCCGAGTCCGAATGCAAGGCCAAGAAGCGGTGAGTGAGGCCAGCACTCGCAGGGTTGTGGGCCCAGTCCCCACGCTGCAGCATCCTGCTTTTCTTTATTGGTGGGCAGGGTGGGGAATCGTCCTCACGGCGCAGCGCTGGGTGGGTGAGGGTGGGAAGGAGGATGACTGCATTACGGAGCCGCCTGCCTCGCAGATTGCTCTTTCACAAACAACCTCATTCTTGTTAGTATTCCCCATACTTCTGAGGAAGTAATGTGTAGTGCTGCCCTGCCTTCTCTGAATTTGGAGTCATCTGACCTGGAGACTGTATTTTCAGTTTATCTGGAAAGCTCTGCGCAGATTCTCTGGCACAGAGACAGCAAAGAAACTCACCTTGGCTGCTGCAGTGAACTGACTGAAGGAGCCCCGTGCTCCTTGACCACTTGATGCAGTTGATGGCCGTCTCCTTTCTAGACAGAGTCAACAAAGTTATCATGCAGGGTTGAAGGAAAATATTTGTAGGATTTGGCATGGAGGGGAGAACATGTTTCATTGGAAGTGCCATTTATTAGCTGTTCTGATGTGACACTGGGGAGATCAGCCACCCCCTGCTTGACTCATCTTTGGATAACACCTTCAGGGTTGAGAAATGTTGACAGCACAGGGGGCTGGAGCTGGCAATCTGATCTCTGCTTTAATGTTTGGTAAGCTGAATGAATCTCTGACTTGTTGCTGCCAGCCTGCCAGCTTTAAGTTGGAGATGAGATGCTTTGCAGCACTAGGAGAATATATGCCTGTAAAACAGCTTTTTGGGTGCTTTTCTGCATTGAGATCAGCCTTAATTCCTTGTCTGACAGCATGGGGAGAAAAAAAATATTACTAGTGGCCAGTTGATGTTTGTCTTGGAGTGGCCTGGGGGTGTTTCAATATCATTCCAGCTCTTGCCAGCAGAAAGTAAAGTTGCATTGAAATTAAGTTATAAAGATGTATGAACCTGAAGGGTTGGAAGTCCATCTGCTTTGTTTCCCTTAATTGGTTGAAAATTTGAAGTGAATTTTTCTTAAACTCTACAGCAGAGTGCTGCAGCCCTTAGATGGTGCTGAAGCAGTAAATATTTGTCTTACAAGACCTGCTCCCTCGATAGGATGCTTTTGGTCAAAACAAACAAACAAAAGAACGATCTTGGCTCTTACAGATCAAATAGTTCTTACTGTACCTGAGTTTGTGTCCACTGTCTTGGCTGTGCTTTAAAGTTCCTCTTTGTACACAGTTTCCAGGTGGAATTTTGCCTTGAAAGCAAGCCGTATTTGTGAAGGTGTGCTGTGAGCTGGGTAGAGTCCAGCCTCAAGAATTTCCTTTGTGTAGCGGGGAAGGAATGGGGTTGCTGCGCCGTTTGTTGGTGTGCATCAGAGTGAGCCTTGCTGTGCTGTGTCCTTCCCAGGTGCTGGCCATGTCAAGCCGTTCCTGGCTCAGTTACTCCTATCAGTCCCGTTTCCACCTGACTCCCCTGTCTTATGAGACTCTGGAGTTTGCGTCTGGTTTCGCATCTGAGCAGTGCCCAGAGGGTATCGTGGCCATCTCCACAAACACGCTGAGGTAAGGAGTGATGGGGAGCAGCAGGGCTGCTGGGCCGGGTTGCCAGGCAGGGAAGAGGGTGAGACATTGAGTAGCAGAGAGATAAAGTGACTTAGGTAAGAATTGGGAAGGGTGGGTTGCTTGTTATTGTCAGGAAGAAATGGTGTGGTGCACCTCTCTGACTGGTGTTTCGTAGCCTGCTGAAATAACAAGTGTACTCCAGGTGACTTTTAAGTCATCCTTAGGGAGGGAGGTTGTTAAGCACTGAAAACATGCTGTCCATTAGGAGAGTCTGATGTGAACACCTACTTTGCAGAAAACAAGGCGTGTGATCTGAGAAATCAGTGGCATGACAGGGATTTGTTTGTTGTGCTTTTTAAATTGCAGCTTAAATAGATATTAAAAAAAAAAAAGGATAAGTGAAAGTAATGGGGGAACACAAATGCAGGAGCTTTGCTTCATGCATTTGAACAGGCACTTTTTTCATATCTCCTCACTGAAGTATTTCAGC